CAGCAACTTTTTCATATGTGTGAGCCCCCTTGAATCTTTTGCAAGCAATTGCAACACTTTTCCTTTCAAAAGTCTCACTTTCAATCCAATGGACTGTAACCCCCAAGTAACTTCTTTTAGATGAAGACCAAATATCAGCTGTACTGCACACAAATTCAACATTGTCCAACTCTAGCTTAAGGTTTTTGTCAAATTCATTGTACTCATTACTAATTTTATTCTTAGCTGTAATACGGCATATAACCTTGGGAGGCTTAGTTAGTTGCTGTGAACCTTCAATCAAAGCTTTAAAATACTTATTCTCCACTATTGATACTGGTGACATGGTGTCAACAATAAATTGTACAATTAACTTGTCCAAATTAACAGATTTTGAACCACTTGTATCTGTAAGAGTAGACTGCTTCAATTTTTTACATGTTTTTTTCTGAACCACTGGCACCAGTGCTAGTAATCTCAGTAACTTTCTTTTTAGGAGTTGTAGTTTTAAAATTTTCATAATCTTGCAACAGATCTGAGTGGCCTTTAATCTGTAATAACGTAAAAAAGTATATAAGTAGGTACATTTCAATATGGAAAATTTAATATCTTTCATCAGGACAAACGCCTAGTAAGTAAAGTAAAAATCTAGTACAAAGTAGGTAAATAAATTATTTTTTAAACAAATGCATCAGTTTACAAAACCTACCTTTAAATGTTTCAGGAAATTTGTAGTAGAAGTAACACTACCCTTTATCGTTTTCGAACATACATTGCATACTGCAGATACATTCACATGTATCTGCAGTATGCAATGTCCGAACTAGTGAAATTCATCACGAAACATTGTCAATCACCTTCAAATAAAAAATTGTTGTTATTCTAACCTAAACTTTTTCCGTTCTGTTCGTAAGTTACATGCACATTTCTGACAAACATGTAATATGCAACTTAGCAAAATAAAATAAGATTTACGTTTCCATGTTCGCGATTCCGAATCTCACAAAGGCGATATTGTTATTGATAATTATTATATATAACACCGTACAACACGTATATTTGAAAAAATTACGGAATGAGTGACAGGAGTGACGGTGACATTTGTAGAAAGATAGTGTCGCCACTCTCTTCATTTCTCGTAGAAATACCGAGGCGAATGTGGTGGGCCACCCTGTATATATAATGATAATAGTATGTCAAACGTAGTATATTAAAATTTTTCCAATTATTATTTCATTTGGAAAATTAATGTTTGAGCATTAGAAATATTTATAAATACTAAACAATGGGACTAAACAATAAATGTACCGTAGGTTAGAATTGCCAAAAAAATAACTTTTTGTAGAGGTCTAGTAGTTTNTCACAAAGGCGATATTGTTATTGATAATTATTATATATAACACCGTACAACACGTACATTTGAAAAAATTACGGAATGAGTGACAGGAGTGACGGTGACATTTGTAGAAAGTGTCGCGAAATGCCAGTTCCACTATTCTTTCTATAATGTGTCTCATATGTAGCCGTGGATAGCCAATAGAAATTTGGTCATACAATGGTACTAGTTTAGTAGGTCCTGAACGGAAGTTAGGAGAATGTATCAATTCCTTGAATACAGTTGAAATACCAGACTAACCTTCGACAAAAGGTAATAAACGGGAGTTTGAAATTGCTCAGCTGTTCCCAATGTGGGAGGTATATGGAAACGTATGGTGCGTTCGATAAAAACAGCGCAGACGGTATCACTTGTAGGAGTCAACCCTAAGGAAGAAGTGCCGCTTATTCTTAAGTACGAAGCAAAATACTTCTTAATTCTGGGCTCTGACCCATATATCAGTTGATTCTAATGATCCAGAGGCAATGGCACCTAATAATTTCCTGTTTCGCCGTCCTGGAGGTGTTCAGCCTATTTATATTATCCAATGGATAGCAGGAAATAATAGAGATTTCCACAAGCCTTTTACATTCAAGCCTTCTCATTTTTAATTTTTCAACTGTAAAATTAAAATTCATGAAACATTTTCCAAAGATTGAAAAACTGCACAATGATCAAATATGGTTTGAATTCAGATTATTTTCCAATGATTTCGATTATTCATGAAGGTGAAAATTTACTTACTTGAACTTAATGTAATGGATCAAATCTTATCGATTTATTTTTTAGTCTCACCCTTTGCCAACAAAGAAAGGTGTTTTGATTTTCATGTTAGATCAATACGTTTATGATATATATCACGATGTTATGACCTAAGAAACGTGTATCAATAATATTTATTTCAGTTGATTTTCCCTGCCGTATAACAGAAATAACAATAATATTTTACGAGTATTGCGGTTTTATCTTTCGAATATCGTTGAAATAGTACTGAAATGGACGATATCTGATAGATAAAATATGTCATAATAGGTGAATCATACACACATGGAAGAGATACTCAAAAATAATCCACACTGTGATTTAAGGACTGATATTCTAGCAGGAATTTGTTAACGAAAAAATCAGTTTCAAATTCACTTTTTTTAAATTCATGCTGAATGAAAGAGAAAATATCAGTCCAAACTGAAAATAGTCTTAATGTTAGTGGTAGTATTAGTAGTAGTAATAAATTCTGATATTTCTCATGAGTCAACATGGTATAGATACCTTGAATGAATATCAATTAGAATTATCCAATTTGCTTATTAATTATTTAAATGGTGTTCCCACGACGATAATTTGAGATATTGGACCGGACGTGAGTTATTACAGCAAATTTATGACAAAATACGAACCGCTCATTCTCAATTCTTTCATAATGATGCAACTAAAACTCGTATGCGAAATGAAATCTCGAGAGTTTACTATATCCTGGAGAAAAAAACCTTTATTTCAGCCTCTAGAATGAATTGTATTCCACAACTTCATGATTTCTCCTATATTGTGAAATATATTGAGTACATGTATCTAGATCGCTTTGAAACATTGGAAAATGTCGGGGCGCATATTATTTTTCATTCATAAAAACGAAAGTAACGAACAGCTATGCATCGATTCATTGATACTCGTATGTTGGCAGTTTTTTCAAATATCCTCAATTTTTGGCTCAAGAAACTGATCTGCAAAAACTTCTTATATCTTTTTGAATGACATTTCAACCTCTTTCAGTATCGAAACAATTCATTCCTGGTGTTTTTTTTTTGAATAATATTTATTTTTGAAAATGATGAACAGCATCATAATGACATTTCCATAATGCATTTCTTCTACATTTCAAATTTTTTTTCTACTTTCGTTTACCTTTCGATGTACGTTTTAATACTACTGACGACATCCTAGTTTTTACAAACACCAAGACACGTGTTTCGCTAAACAATGGCTTTCTCGAACATAAACTGACAGTTACTTCAAAATTACAACCATTTTATACTCTAACCTATTACCTACTCGTCTACCTAATGAATGAATTTACCTGAAAAGGTCTGGTATGAATTCTGTAAAGAGAAATGAAAATTTCTATGTTTTCTCAACTTCTCAAACTTATACAATAAACTTTGTATAAGTTTGAGAATGTCCATACAGGACGACGAAACTGCAGTAACATTAGTTACAAATAAAAGTGGTAAAAAACATAGAAATGTTCATTTCTCTTTTCATTATGATCTCCTACCATGTAGTAACGGCTACATCCATCAATTTATTGGTATGAATTCATTAACTACTCATTCATAATGGCGAATTGTTCAATTCAGTTCGATCGTTCATAAGATATTGAGAGTTTTTGAATTTCCATACTCTCCAACAGGTTAAGTTTCAAACCTTTTTCTGGAAATGGAGGGGTTAGTATTCATGGTTGAACTCAAGTCTCTCTGTTGGATCGCCGGACTCCTGCCACCGTGGACCAGCCTACCCAAGCTAAGGTGTAAAGGATCGTGCCGACAGCTGAATGGCCGCAGGGTGATATGCGGTTACGAACGATTCCATAGGGGAACTGGGCAAAACCTATTTGTAATCAGCCTTCCTCTGGTAATGTGGGGCTCTGCCAGAGGTGACCAACTCTTCCCTTGCTACTCGTGGGAACACACATATATGAAACAAACAAAACAGACACAACAAAAACCAATCCCGAGGCTGGACAAAAGTGCTCACCTCAATATATGACGGTGGCTGGGGATGAACAGAAATGTTTCCCCCAATCTACCGCTCGGAATGAGGCTGGACATAGCAGATCATCTCGTGATGTGATACAAAGGCGGCGCATTTGCGGTGCCGAGGCCAGCGCCGAGATAGCGAAAGAGGCAGGAATGGCAACAACTATAAGTGCACCTTCTTCCTTCCCCAATCCACTTCCAACAGCAAGGGCACTTCCTGCGGCGGGAGCCAAGATCTCCACTTTGAATAAAGGCAAGGAACCGGCTGTCCCTGTAGGAAAGCGCCCTCACTTCACTCCACTAGGGGAACCCCAGGAAGGTTGAAGAAGCCGCGCTAGGAGGACAACTCCTCGGGAGGATTTGCAATGGGTCACATGTGGCCTAAGTGCTGTGGGTATACACCCACCCTCCCTACTATATACATACATACATGGGTGGGTGCACGAGTTATGAATGATAATATCTGTGTGTGCCAGTTTACAATAAATTGAAAAATCATGTTTGTTGTTAACTTCTGTTATTGTCAAGTCCAAAAAATGTATAGGTAATAGGTTAGAGTATTAAATTGTTGTAATTTAGAAGTAACTGTCC